ATCCCACGTTAAACCGGCCTTGTGCCCACATGATGCCCTCGTGGGAAGGGGGTGACTAAATACTGTTCAGTCTGAAGTCTGGAGTGAAGTCCGTCAGAAGTCTGTCAGTCAGTCAGAGGCAGTCCGAAACAGGGTCGCGTCCAGACAATTACTACTAAACCTGATTGTTCGTACTAACACTTTCTACTTCTCTGTATATATTCCTGTTTGTAATATATCTGTGTTATTCTATATGCGTGTTCGAGTTCTTCTTTATTGGTTCTACCTTGGACTATCACCATGGTACAAGGAACCGGACCATAACAGTATGTATGTATACAGGGTGACCCATAGTGATTGAACATGTTTTAAATGCAAGTATCTTGGATTATAAACATGCCATAGAGTGCCAAATATATTTATGTGGTTACCACCGCGAAGTGAACATGCACGAACTCATACTCACATTTCAAACACAGGAGGGCTTAACATGTCAACTGCAATGGCTGCAATCTCTCGACGGATGCTTTGTTTTAGTTCCGCAGCTCTAGAACTAAAACATCTCATCATCAGTAAAGGACACCATATATATATATATATATATATATATATATATATATATATAATCAATATATATAAAACAATAAACCCATTTCCTAAGAGGAAAATAATTCTTATTTTTCTTTTATGAAAGTGTGAAATATAATTCTTCAGTTAAATATATATAAAAAGAATATATATATATATATATATATATATATATATATATAGACAAGTCTGTTTCGCTATATGACATCTCATCAGTGCGCCTAAAAGCCCGATTGATTGAAGCCGGGATCAAAACTCGACCGATCAGTCAGAGAAAAGAAAATTTTAAAGTATTATATATGATGCGTGTATAAACGCCAGTGGCCAAGAAGGCTCAATTCCTATGTGACACTATTTAGTGGTTGCGTGAAAATTAAAAGCGAGTAATACTTAAGGCGAGAAGAAGCTATCACGAAAGACATACTGAGCGATGTTATTTTTTTTTTAAAGAAAAGTGGTAAAGATTTTATTTTCATTTGCGAAGAAAAGTATTTTTTTTTCGCAGAAGAGAGGAAATTCGTAAGATCTCGGATCTGTCGGAATTAATTTATGCTATGACGCGGCGAATAAAAGATAGCAATCTGCCCATGGCAATAATGAAAATTTCAAATTGGTCAAGTGGCTCGCAGGGCGAAATGCTAAAAGATAATCAAATTTAGGTCGAGCAGCGACCGAGAAAAAAGATCAGCTGAGCCACCCCAAAGAAAAAGAAAGGGAAAAGAGAAAAAAGGAAAGAATAAACCATTAACTATCTTTCGGAGATATCATTTGGTTCTGGGAAGAGACACCTGTTTTATGTCCAGACCTGGACATGATAAAAGTTTGTTACCGGGTCAGATTGTTAGCGACAGGGTGCGAAGACGTTCAGTTGACCACCCATTTAACGCTTGGCGAAAATCTCGTTGATAAATTTGAGATGACATTCAGTTAAGATAGAGATTAAGGACCACATTAGGTGTCGTAGAAAAGAAAAAGGAAGATATTTTTTTTTCTTTGAGCGATAATTGTAAGCTGAGGCCAGACTGGCCGCGCCCACGCTACCGAGCGTTCATTGGCTGAGTGCTGGCGTGAGCAGTGGGCGAAGGTAAACATATGAGAAGAAAGGGAGGCCTGTTGACGCCCTCTGAGGGGATTGGTGTGAGATACCAATATGAGAAAGGAAGAATTTGGGAGTACAATTCCCTTAAGAACCCCTCGAAAACAGAATGTAATGGACTTCCAAAAAAGTGATAAAATTTCCTTATTGTGGATTTGGAATTATCGAGGAATCCAAACCACGACCGGCCCACACCCGGTTTTGGTCGGCGTCCATATAAACGGAGCAGACGCAGACAGTGGCAGTTGGAGAGACGCAGACGCAGACAGAGTGACAGAGCAGAGAGTTGAGCTGTGAGCTCGCAGACAAGCCTCGCAGGAAGCTGACTGAAAAATATCCACGCATTCCGACTTCAACTTCTAACCAAAAACAATTTTTTTTTGAAGAACGACTTAGACTCACACCACCAAAACAAGTTTTACGAATATCGCCTGAAGATACAAAAAAAAACCAGTTTCATAAAAAAACAACTTAAGATATTAAGACTCGCCTAACAAACGCAAAGTGTCACATATCCATAGAAGCGGTTTGGGAGAAAGACGCAGTCCTGTATTCAGCAACCAGATATAAAGATACTTGTTATTCTTTTTATTTTTAACACATTTGAACCTTTCGAGTTGTTACTTTATTTTCTTTTACATATACTTGTGCGATGTCACCTTTGCTCGAATTCGGCTTGCATTACGGCCCGGCGACTGATTGATTTCGTCTACCTAAGATCAAATCACAACGTGTTTAGGTTAGACTAGAAATCAAAGCAGTTACTTCGGTAACCAGACGTTGGAGGCGACCTGGGAACGACAAAGCTGATATCGAATCTAACCAGATTCCCATCGGAATCAGCCAAGAGTTAGAACGTCACATTTGGCGCCGCGACCAATACCAAGTCACATTGGTCGTCACAGGATAGCACGGGCGCGGCGAGGCGCAGGAAGAGAGGCCGGGTTGACGTCACACCTAATTGAAGAGCGACGCATTAATAGCTGTAACAGGCACTGTTTTGAAAAAAAACGAGAGCAAAAATAGTCATCCACATTTACAAGCCTGTTTAATTTGTATCAAGCTCTTCATTTCATATATATATATATATATATATATATATATATATATATATTAAGCATTTCATCCCAAGCAATTGAAAATAAAAGAAGTGTCACGAAACGCAAGTGGTTTAGAGAGGGTAGAGAACAAAAGTAAAGGCGTATTTGGGGAGAGGATAAAAAGAAGTGCAGGGAACAAGATCAAGGTATCAGAAGATGTCGATTGACATTACACTTAGATATTTGAAGATTATAGTTATCAGGGAAACAAGTAAGAAGAAGAGAATTCTACATGACACCTAGAAAAGACTAGGAGGGTACCTTTAAAGAGAACACTAGAGGCTGTCGCGACATTCTTTATACACAAATTGTACTCTAAAGGCCTGCAAAAGGCACGTAATGTTGTTTAAAAAGAAAACGCTACAGTTTTTAATCATTTTCGTTTTAAAATGACATCCTTTAAATGGTGACCTATATTCGCCATAAACTTTTGTAGATGATTTCTAATATTTTCCATCACCCAAAATTCCAAAATTTTGATTTTTATTCAGGCGGTTTTCTGTTAAGCACCGAGCATGTAACCCTGACATTTTCAACCCATAGCACTATCGATTTTATATCCGGAACAGCGTAACGTGAAATGAAAACAAAAAGCTCTCCGTGTTGCAATTAGATTCACCAGTCTTTAAAAAAGAAATGTTAAAACAGCAAATGCACAGTGTGCGTTGGTTCCATGATGGAAGCTGATGGAATTTGAAAAAGAAATGGTAAGACATTAGCTAGAAGAAGACGCCATTGCCTAAGGTGACAGTTTAAAATGTGGGAGGTATTTCTGTTGCACCCTGTATAACTCCCACAACGTTGTTTCGCTACAGTAAATGAAGCGATCTGCTTCCATTTCTGCAGCTCAAAGATTTACACCTAGGAAGTTGCTTCCACGGAGCCGAGTCGTCCGCATTTCCTTCGTATTCCAAACGAAAGAAGGAAATTTCAGTCAGAAAGCCTTTTCCTAAGAACTGTTATTATGTGGAACAGACACCAGCGTGAGTGCTTTCCTGAACGCTACAATTTTAACCTTTTCAGGTCAAGGGTCAATCATTATCTGTCCTCTTTATTCGCTTCCTATTTCTCCTCTTACATTCCTATTACACAAAGCATTTATTAATTCTCTACTTTGAATGACTCTAAGGTATTGTATTGGATAATCATTAATAATATATATATATATAAATCTGTATCTCTAACATTCTGACGAAACTTGTCACCTATATGTTTAAAATATGACGTCTTCCAAATTATATGTTTCAAATATTCTAGGAACTGGGTTAAGCCGAGAAATATTCATCACACCCATCACACACACACACACACACATACATACATACATACATAATATATATATATATATATATATATATATATATATATATATATATATATAGTAAAAGACAGAATAAAATTATTTACGAATAAATATCAATAAATATATATATATATATATATATATATATATATATATATATATATATATTAAAATTTATTTATATTAAATAAAATATATATATATATATATATATATATATATATATATATATATATATATATATATATATATAAAAAAGAAGGACAAATGTGCCTAAAAACTTATGGATTCAATGCATTCTTTTATATTTCTATTTACGTTCGTATTTTTAATTATGATAAGTAAATAGATGGAAGTAAAAGTAGTTTGCTAGGAAACGAGATATGATATTTGATAGATATATTCAGATACGATTGCCGTTATAGATTTTACAGAAAAATAGGTTTAGGACGCTGGGGTAAAGTGAAAGCGACGAGGAGATATTGAAACGAAACAAAGATGGAAACGAGGTGTGGCGTGTTGAGTGGCGGTGTTCATGAGAGTTGGAAAGACCAAGAAGAATTGAAATTTCTTCAAAGAAGAAGAAGAAGAAGAAAGAAGAAGAATTAAAATAATATATTTGTGTGGGTGGGTTGTGTGATTGAGGAGGCGTTTCAGATTTAGAAATCTTTTCGCCGTATATATTCCACAAGCGATTATTTATTGCATTATATCGCATGCACCTGACATAAATAAATACATAAACATATAATATAGACATTTTTGCAGAAACGATTATAAATATATATATATATATATATATATATATGTCGGTATGAGTAAATAGATAAATTTTCCTTTCTGTTATATTAATGTACATTTATACGATTGCGAAACGTGTTTAGAATTATACAAGAACATGAATAATTACTAACGCCTTATATATACGAAGGTT